ACTGATGGGAGAGGGCCCAGGCTATTGTGAATGGGGCCACCCCTAGGTTCTATAAGAAAGAAGGCTGAGAAAACCATGGGGAGCAAGCCAGTAAGCAGCACTCCTTCATGGCCTCTGCATCAGCTCCTGCCTCCAGGTTTCTGCCCTGCTTGGGTTCCTGTCCTGACTTCCTTCAGTGATGAACAGTGATATGGAAGTGTAAACCAAATAAGCCCTTCCTCCCTAACTTGCTATTTGGTCATGGTGTTTCATCACAGCAATAGAAGCCCTAATGGAGACACTCCCTAAGAGGAGCAGGGCAGGAATTCACTTCTGTTTTCCTTCGATAAGTAACAACAGAGGCCCTAACAATCTAAGGAACACATCCTTGCCATGGTTACGCCACATTCCAGGGCAGTGTCACTCCTTTGCGTCTAAACTTAGTATCTCAGACTAGACTCTAAAGATGTTGTGATGAGAAACTGGGTGGGGCCTGGGGAGAGCTTGCCCTGGACACCCAGTTGCTTCAGCATGGACCTTGGTGCTTGTGGGAGAAACAAGAAAGCTACTTTAGCGTGGCTTACCATCCCTGCATCAATGCCGTTTCTGTCTGGAGACCGTGGCTTTGCATTCCATTTACAGGGAGACAAAATAGAGCCTTTGTGCTGGACTCGAAGGAAACCGTGAAAGGCCACAGTTTGTCTTCAGACTTATGTCAACTATTTGTCTCTTGTTATTTTCAACAAACAAGCCCTCTCCATGCATTTTTGAGACTGTCTCAATCATCTGTTTTCTCAAGTTTCCACAGTCCCTGTTGCAACAGGTATGAGAAAAACCTACCGTTCGACAGTGTTATCCACAAGCCACTCATTCTGGATGGTGGTTTAGAAGCCCAGTGGGATAGCATTCGAGGCATTGGGTTGCACATGGCACAGTGGTGCTAGAACAGGGTCCACTAGGAACCCGGCTCCATGGTTGCTTCAGATTTGTTAATCAGAAATTTAAAAGCAATGGTGAAAGGAATTATCCCCAGTCCCCTAAATATTATCATCTACAAGTGCCTTTCCACCATCTGACACCATGTTGGGGAGAGGGGACAAGATTTCTAATAGCTCTACAAACGTGTGTGGTATGCTGAGTCCCCTTTCACTGATGGTGGACAGGCAAGATCTCGGTGGCCACTTGGATACTCTGTTTGAGGGAACTTGGAATGGATGACCTTAAAGTTTGAGAGCCTGTGGCTGCTCTTAGAAGGAAAACTAAGATGCCTTAAATTTTAGTTTAAAATTATCCCAAGTATCTCTTTTTTAGGTTAGAGGACAATTTGTGCATTATTTGTTCTGTAGCCTCAAAAAGCTATATTGATACTGAATTTTAAAATGTCTTGCTGTGGAATATTGCCTCTGAAACTCAGTGGAGAATCCTGTAAGACCTGGATCTAAAAGCTTTGACAAAAACTGGCTTTTCTCTTCCCTCCTTTGACTTTTTTTTTTCTTTTTAGTGTGACCAAATCTCCAAGATGCCATCATTTGTAGGTGTTTTGAATACAATGATGAAATTTATGAATAATTTACTTTATAAAAACATCAGAGCTTAAAGTTTCTGTTAATGACATATTCAACTCCCACAATAGTTCTTGATGGGGAGAACAAAAGGTGTGGAAACGTGGACATTTCCTACATTAGAGGTGGGAGGCCCACACGTGAACAAGTTGGCATGCTGGGGATAGGGTGCTACTGCTACTCAGTGTGGTCCATGCATCAAGAGCATGGAATCTGGGGAAGCAAATTCTCAGATCCTCCACACAGATCCACTGAATTGAAGCATCTGGGAGTAAGGCACAGCCACAGGCTCTGCAGGCAATTGAAGGAATTTTTAGATTTGGGAAGCACTGCCCCTGAACCAAGAGTTCTCAGGCTGTGGTGCCCAAAACATCAGCATCTCCTGGGAACTCATTAACAGTCATCTGCAGCTTGTTTTCAGGACTTTGGCAGGTGAGGGCTGAGAGGCTCCATGACCCTTTCAAATACTTAAAGGCCATAGAGATGGAAAAACTGAGTAATAAATAATGAATTCTTGTGGCAGAGGAGGGATGGCTCAGTCAATAGAGTGCTAGCCATGTGTAGTGTGAGGACCTGAATTTGATCTCTAGCATCTGCTTGCTTGGAAAACCTCTATAAGGTAGATGGACCTGTTAGGTTGAGAACAATGGCCATCGTGCCTACCAAATCTTCCGTCTTCATGAGCACACAGAACATTAAGGCTTTCTGATTTCTGCCCCTTCTTGGGGCCCCTCTAGGAGTCTCCTGGCAGCTGCCTGACCACCTCGGCCACTTCTGACCCAGCTGCAGGCTGGGAAGAATAAGACAGAGGGCGGGGCACTGTCATACTTGTAGGAACAAGATCTGGACTCTCCAAGACTGGTCAGTGCTCACACTGTAAAGCCAGGGGATCTGAAAGCAGGACTCCTGAAGAACTGGTCATGGCAACCTAAAGAGCTGGGGCAGGGCCACACTAGCAGACACTCGAACTCACCCAGCTCTCTCTGAAGGGCCCAATCACAGGACATAGGATCCTCAGGATAGCTACTGATCACTTGTCAGGTCAGCTTGAGGAGGCCCTGGCTTTCACATTTCCCCAAAGCTGTTTGGACCTGTGATAGGAGGAAGACTTTAACAATGAGAGAGAACTGGGGCAGAAGAATACAGGAGGAGCTAGGGGATGGGCGGGGCGGGTGGGGTGGGCTGGGCATCTACTTCTGAGCTGGTAGAAAACACAACATGTTTGCCATGGCTGCTGCTTGCTCTGCTTCTGACATGGTTATGTGGATGTCCAACCTGCAAGATCTTTGCACTTTGAGCATACAAGGAAGGGCTGGAAAGGAGGCCACATCCATGTCTGTACTTGGAGCCTCCATAAGTCTTTCTTAGTGATGGAAGGTGTGTTCCTCAGGCGGTGGAATACATGGTCATGGCAGGGATTTGGAACCTTTTGCAGCACATTCTTTACTGATAGATCTGTTCCCAGACAAACTCCAGCTTCTCAATGTTCCCAAGGCAGCAAGGGACTAGCTGTGTATAGTAGTTCCTCAGGGGATGTGTTCCATGATACCTATGAGTGTCTAAAATAGTCTAAAGCACTAAACTTCTTATCTACTATGTTTTCTTCTATGTACGAGTACCCATGATGAGATCTACAAATTAGGCTCACTGAAACTAGCAATAATAACTAGTAAAAATAGGAAAGTATAATGCTTTATTGTAAAAATGAATGAATTCTTTATTCCTGGACTTTTCTGCTTAATATTTTCAGATAACTGGAAATTACGGAGAGTAACACAAGGGCTGGGAGCTATTTCTCCTATCAATTACCATGTTGTTTGTTTTCTGAACTCAGGTTAGAGATGGCAAGATAAATTTAATTCTTCTGCCTCCCAAGCACCCACTGAAATAACCTAAAAAACCAGGGAAAGGGATGCACCACCAGGGGAAATGGGGCAGAGGCAGATGCAGGGGAGGTGCTTGTCTTTTCTGGTACACAGAGTGCAGCCAAGATGTGAGAAGGAAGATCTGCCCTGCCCATGACTTGGTACCTGCTAAAGAACTAGCAAGCAAACCGGTGGGTAGAATTCTCAACAAAGCTCCCAGCACAGTCAAAAACACCAGAACTTCTGGGCAGCAGCCACAGGGAGGAGAGTGTTACCCTTGAGGTCAGACCTACCATTAGTAAGGTGTACAAACAGCCTCAGTGCCATCCTCTGTTAAATAGGGAGAGTGTCTCCAATATAAGATACACTAAGGATAAGACACAGTACTCATCCAGACACACAGCTGGAAGGTAATAGCTGCCCTTTAATGATTACTGCCTGTCATGGACTTCTAAGGGTTTGGCAGAGTTACTGCTAATCTGCAAGGAAGCCTTTGGGAAGTGGTCTCATTCTAACCAGGCAAAGCCTCTAATGAGGCAACATAGTTCAGAAAGGGTGAGTCACTAGTTTAGGGTTCATCCTTTTTCAGGTAGAGCAGGTAATGCTCCAAGAGCTCCAAGATCTAAACCAATTTGCTGTTGTTTCTGTTGTCTTCCTTCCTTCCTTCCTTCCTTCCTTCCTTCCTTCCTTCCTTCCTTCCTTCCTTCCTTCCTTCCTCCCTCCCTCCCTCCCTCCCTCCCTCCCCCCTCTAGTCCTCCCTCCCCCTCCCTCCCCCCCTCTCTCTTCTTTGTCTTGTTTTGACAGTGCCTCATGAAACTCAGTCTGGCCTCAAACTCCTGATCTTCTTGTCTCCACTAAGTTCAGGAGTTAAAGGCCTAAGCTGCCACACCAAGCTAACATTTTTTTTAAAGCAGTGCTGGGTCTCAAACATTGACCTCATGCATTTGAGGTGAACATTCTAACATTCTATCAGGAAACTCTAGTCCTCTAAGCTACATTTTTCCAAGCTGTAACATATCCTTAACGTTCTGCTTAGACTACTTATGTTCTGTGAAAATACTACATCTTGTTGTTCCTACTGGAAAAAAAGTCAAAGATAGTTTGTCTATGTGGCTCAGTCTGTCCTCAAAAATGTCATTCACCTGTCTCAGCCTCCTGAGTATTAATTTCGCAAGTATGTACCTCCATGTTCAGTAGATAGCATTTTCTAAATAAGAAGCTTAAACACATATGGAGTTTGGTCATTGTGGGGGGGGGCCTGGTATGAAGCTCTGTGAACACTCAGAGGTCACTATATTACATTACTTCAACAGATCTCTAAGCATTTAGTTGAGGACAATGGCATTTAGGGCTTAAACCAACAACTGGATAAAAGCATTCGAAAGCAAGTTTGCTCAACCCATGTCTCTCTCTTTAGTAGTATTCTGCTGTACTTTAATTGATGTAGTCTATAGAATACCATTTAGATTGGGTTTTACTCCCACTAGATAAAGGCGGGGAGGGGGGAAGTCTTGTGGTCCCAGACCTCTGGAATTCTTTGATGAAACAAATCACTGAGCATGCCAACACTCCTAAACCACTGTTTCTTTTCTAGTGGAACTCACAGAAAACATCGGACTCCCTCTGACACTGCTTGAAAGTCACAACCCTTGGCCAGCCTATGTCACATATACCGCCCCAGCAGTGAGTCGACTCATTGACAAAAGCCTAGTCCGAGAGCTGGAGTGCATGCATGCTGCTGAGGAAAACCGCAAACCAACGAGGTTGAGCAAACCTAGTTTCATGCAACTGAAAAGGAAGAAGTCCTCCAAGTCCTCAGAACTCATGCTGAAGGATGCCCTATCAGAAGCCAGGCTATCCCCTTGGGAACTTTGCTCTGCAACAAATATTCCCACAGTTATCCTAGAACCTACACAATCACAAATGGAAATCAGAGAGGGTCCCACATCAAACTATAACAAGATTATTTTCTCCAGGAGGCCTGCAATGTGGAAGCTCCCATATGGTTTACTACAGCCCAGCAAGGAGACGAATGCCAAAGTTTAGCAAAGAGCCCTGCAGCCACCCCCTGAGAATGTACAGCAGTTACACACCATTTGCTACAAATTACATCCGTGTCCTTGAAACTTGTACTTGTTCCTGTTTATACATAGGCTGGCAGACAGAGACCTTGTCAGAAAGTGGGCTGTGGGTGGGTGGGTAGATGCCAGCCTCAACACTGGAGTTTGTTTAGGTGAGGCAGCTGTAGCTGCTGAAGGCCCGACTGCATAAGTGTTTGTTCACATCCAGGCAGCAGACAGAAACCACAGCAGTGACTTCATTTAACCTAGTGGCTAAAGAGGGCAGAAAGGTATTAGAATCCAGTTTTCAACAGAGGTAGCCCCTGTGGGGACCCGCCCTCTCCCTGGAGTTATTGGGAGTTAGACGCCTGCAGAAGGGAGATGTGCTGTGAAGCTCAGCGTTTCCGACGTGGGGGAGTGGGTTTTGTCCAGCTTGTACTGCCGACTCAGTGCTGAGGAGAACCCCTTGCAGGGTCCTATCTCCACCTCTGAGAAGGGGTCTCTGTTCCCCTGCTGTCAATGAAAGACATCTGTGAGTCTGGGTCAGTGAATGTTAAAAACTCAAAAATTAGATTAAAACGCTAGAAGGCATTGCCATTGCCTGGCTGACAGAAAGGGATCTGTGGGGAAGCTGCCAGAGGTGGAAAGGGACAGTAGGACCCATCAGAAAGCTGATAGTGAGCCCCCCCCCCATCCCCTCTAATCATGCAGTCTCCTGCTAGCGCCCTCTGTGGGCAGGGCTTGGTAGGGCATAAGGAAGAATGCCACCCATCAGCTGATTCTCAGCCATACCATCTCCCAGGACAAGACCATGATTTCTCTGAAGCCAAAAGGAAATCAGACCGCTGACTACAAGTGTGGTTCTGATGCTCCCTGTGGCACCTAAGCCTGGTATTGGAGTGCTTTTTCCTTGGAGGGTTTACAAAATTGTGTGTGTGTGTGTGTGTGTGTGTGTGTGTGTGTGTGTGTGAGAGAGAGAGAGAGAGAGAGAGAGAGAGAGAGTATGTTTGTTTTGTGTGTGTGTCTGTGTATGTGTGTAGTGCCTGTGCCTTTTTCTTTTTTATTTACTGTGTGTACATGTATAAATGTGTCACAGTGAGTGTGCCATAGACAACTTTGAGGGAGTTGCTTCTCTCTTCCCCTCATGTGGATCCTGGAGACTGACCTCAGGCTGCCAAACTTAGCAGCAAACACTTTTACCCACAAAACTATCTTACTGACACTCTCTTGTACTTCTTTGTTTTAGCTTGGGGAGCAGACCTGATGAGAACATGGGGGAAGGGTTAGGATTCAGGGGTGAGTTCCTGGCTGGACACTAGATGTTATATGACAGCTAAAGATGGGCCCATCCATGCTCCAAAATTGGCTTCAGAGCAAGTGAATTCTCCTCAGTCAGCAAGCTAACAAGCTTTGTCTTCAGGCACAGTCAGCACCCCGTTTGGGGTTTATCTGTTACCACGAATGTCCCTACCCACAATTCTGTGTGTTTTCAAGGAAGTTAGTGCCCATCTCCTCCAAGTCCAGGTGGACAGGGTGTGATGTACCAATAGCTGCAGCTGCCATTTGAAAAAGCCCAGCTCTTCTTGCAATGCATTTTCCCTATTGATTGCAAACGTTTGGCATCACTCAGGGCTGTTGTATTTTAGTCTTAGGCTCCTGTGCAGTCCTGTCTGAACAGCACTGTCAACTACAGGTCCCCAATCCAATCCTGGGGTCTTTACCCTTGGCCAGTATGAGTCCTGCAGAAGCATAGATTTTTCCCCAGTGAATCTCAGTAAGTATAGTTTGTGTCCTAGACACAAAATGATTCTTCTAAGGAGAATTTTTATCTTAAGACTGTGATGTAGTGCTATATACCTGTAATTTAAATACCCAGGAGGCTGAGGCAGAAGAATTATGGGCTACATAGACACTGTCTCCAAACAAACAAGTTAAAAACAGAAACAAAAAACCCCCAAACCTCTTCTATCCCTTCATGGGCATTTCTGCAAGAGCATGGGGACAACCTTATAGGCATATCAGTATTGTTTTCTTTGTAGTTAATAGATTCTTTTAAAATGAATTCTATAGTAATTGGTTTTTTTTAGCTAGCATGATTTAGAATAATTTAATTCTCAGCCTAGTGTAACAACATAGGCATGCACCAGGAATATCATTCATGTCTTCTGCCCTGATGGAAAGGGCCTGGGGCTTTGTGCATGTCATACCTCATGGGGCAATTTTAAGACAGAAAAAAAAATATCCAATTCTTTTTGAAATGGAGAACTCAGCTTAAGTCTAGGTTGGGATACATGGATCTGGCCACTTGCTATCTTTACAAGATAACTAGGGATGCTGTTGGGGAAGAAACTACTGGACACTAGCTGGATGTGTAAGAAAGCTTTGGTCACTGGGTGCAAGATGATCCTTACACTCAATGACATACAGTGTGCAGTGCTTTGTGTGTCCCTGGTTCAGCTCTTCCTGAGGGCTATGGGGATGAGGACCAGTGGAGTCAGCTCCCCAAGGACGGTTTGACTAAGAGTTCCAAGACAAAGGGGAAGAGATGCCTTTGGTTGGGTTCACAGCCCATGGGAACAGAGGTCCCACTGCTCTAGGTGTGACTTTGAAAGCTGGAGGTCTGGGAAAGCCCAGAATACACTTGTTGGGACCAGTTTTACTCATCCCTAATGTTTCTAGAAATAAACATGGATCCTTTCCAGGACCCTGACATTCATCCGGAGCAGGCAGGGCATGCATGAAGTGGAATGTGGATTATTTCCATGTAACCTCATCTGCTTATTCAAGCCAGGGAATCCTGGGGTATCTCAGCTTACTCTGAGCAAAGCTAATGGCAATCTTGAAGAAGGAACTGGCTTTCTTTGATGTTGCACAGCCTATAGCTTCCTCTCATTTATCTTCTCTGTACTCAGCATTGTATTTTATTGCTTAGCAGAGTGGCTGTTGCAATGGGTTTGCCTGCTTTTGTAGTCTGTTTAGCGTCAGAATGTGCATTTTGTTGCTAATAACTAAGGTCACATTCTGACACATTTCATTCAGCCCTTTTACATGGATTCCCTGGCTTCCTGTGCACAATATGACATTTACCATTTGTGAATTCCAAAGGGGTGTCAGACAGTTGATGTTCAACCCCAATGGCATATCCAAGCCGCTGTCCAGTTCCACTTTGGACATCAAGCAATTCTGCATTCTGGAGCTTCCTCTGCTGTGGCCTGGGGCAAGTCTTGATGGAGATTAGGCCTGCTTGACTGATAAGAGGCTGCAGGAATTTTCAGGAGCAATTCCAAACAGAGGTTCTGATATGGGTGGGTGTGGCAAAGCAGACATTTGGGGGGGGGTCACCTGATACCTCTCTAACTGGGATGGGAGGTAGAGATGGGACTTAAGCAGATAAGATAGATACTTTACCAGCCGATGGAGCATGCTCAATGTGTCTTTTCTTTTTGTGGTTCAGTGTCTTCCTTATGCAGGAGGGAGTAGCTACTCCCTCCTTTAGGATAGGAAGAATGTAACAGGCACCTGAAGCAGGTGATTTCTGGGCTTTTCCAGGGCTCCTTCAAGGTAGCTAAGCAGTCACGCGAAGTAGAGGACCCAGCACAGGACAGAGAGCAGCCTCCTGCACTGAAATCCCAATCAGCTACTAACCATGCATCTGTGGTGATAAAGAACAAGGCTTAAATTCCCTAGCAGTCCAGGCATTCTCTCTGTGGATCAGCAGCTGTAGTAAAAAGATTACAAAATGTTTTATAAGCTGTGTCCAGGCAAACAGGGCCACCTACACCACGTGCTTCTTTTTGGCTTTAAGTCATGATTTCTCCCTGTATATACAGACCAAAGGGCACATTTTTAGAGCCCTCAAGATATCTGTGGCAGATAGTGCATAGGCTGAGAAAGCCACAGAGGGGGGTGTTGGGAAAGGGAAGTAAACAGAAACCTGATTGGAGCTCAAAGCTGAGTTTCTGTTTGTTGAAAACTCTCTTTCTACTGCCTACCCCCTCCCTGGGCCATATCCCTTACCTGGGACCCAGGGACTCAATCAACTTCTTGGAAATCACAGGGTGACATTACTAAATCTGTAGGGGTATGGCTGGGTTCTTGGGAGCAATATAGAACACCTGTATTACCGTGTCCTGACACTTGGCACACATTTGTAGGATGCTTGGCTATGCACTGCCAACATGAAGCAAGAGAACACGTTAAGTGTCAAATTCTGTTCCTTCTGGTAAAGGCTGCAGAAGGAAAGGGCACCTGGAATTTCATCACCCCACATTCTAAGCCACCCCACATTCCGGGCCTCACTTTTACCATGACTGATCTCTCCATGCCACAGGGTAAGATATGCGGTCATGCAGCTACCTCCAGTGGGCACACAAGCCAAGAGTAGGTGGCGTGACCTTAACTTTATATTCCACAGGCAATAAAAATTTCTACCCTGCCTCTGGCGTTTCTTAGCAGGTATTTTTCTGAGAGCCCAGCACAGCTTATGGCATGCATTCACTTCCTGTCTCTATTCAGTTTTTCAGTGACCCAGAACAACACCCTATTTTTAGGAGCTGTAGGGACCTGCGAAGACACAGAATTTCAGACAAGTTGGGAACTTGACTCATGGCACTGTTTCTGCACACATGCCAAGTGGGAGTGCTTTTTTTTTTTTTTTTTTTTTCATGCAGAACAGTTGGTTTGAGAGCCAACTGCAGCTGGAGGGAAGTTGGCCCAAGTGTGGCTGACTCTCTGTTCACACTTTTGCACATTGGAGCACGTCTGTATCCATTTTACCGTTCAGCATCCCCGGGGCATGCTTACCTAGGTAAGTGGATAATGACTGAAGCAAGGAGAGGCTTTGACTGGGCCCTAAGCCATTCAACATTACTTCTGTATTTAGTACTTGCCCTGCTCTCAGATTGCCTTAGATATTATCAGCGCTAGGGTTTGGTCTGTGATTGCTGAAGTCAGGATATATTGTAAAGCAGTTTTATCCCAGACCCTTCTTCATGTGGTCAGCTTGCTCTGTGTCTGTGGCCCCACAGGTATTGTACAAACCTGGCCATCTTCTCCTATATATGCCCTGGTGTTCAGTCTGGCCTGGAACTGGTACTCAAGTCTTACTTGAGTAAGGAGT